CCCCCCCCCCCCCCCTCTCCCCCTCTCTCCCCCCGACCACCGCTATTATGATGGTTGCAATCTATTTGGTGGGGAGCTGCACTTGCTGGAAAACGGGTCCAGTGTCCCTTGACAAGATTGGATCACGGAGGTAGGCCAGCATTGATTGGCCTCCAGTGAGGGCATTAACTGCATTGATTGCTCTCTAGCGAGGGGATTAACTACCTGCCAAATTGAGCAGCAGAATGACTTAAGAGGCTGTGAAACTCACAGTTAGACTACTACCTCCGGCCACAGCAGCCAGCACTCTACCCACACATCCCAAGGAGTGGTTTAGGTCCCTTATACCCAGCCTCATGAAGCAATCCCAGACACTCACATACTTACCAAACCGCTTCGATCTATGTCACGACAGCAGCAGAGATTACTCTGGAGCCCCCTCCATACCCCAAAGGATTTCCAGCTTCACAGGCAGATGATACCTGTAACCCAGAACCTACTGAAATCACTCACCCATAATCCTTGGGTAGTGGCACAACCCAAACATGAAGAAAATCATTTGAAACTTACGAGAAGCCGCTGCGTTGATATAGTAATGCTATTCCAAGCAGACACACATCAGATTCAACGTCAAACTCCCCTGTCCCTGTTGTTCCTGAAAGAATCTTAGAAATGTAAATCAACTGTAAAACACACAATGTCGTGACCAGCCTCCCATACCATCGATGACAAGGAATGTGTACACATTATTATGTGCAAACCATCGTTACCAGCCTCTCGCCAATCAACGAGGAGGTATATGTAGAAAGTACTAGAAACTAATGTGGAAAGCAATCATTGTCATGCTTGTCATCTTTCGAGGATCGGAGGATGGAAATAAAACAGTCATTATCAGCCTCCCCATCAATTGAAAAGGGAGGATGACTCTCCAAAGCTTCAAAACGTTATGAAATCCTCGTCTAGTGTCGAGGAAGAAATATGCAAGATCCAAAACCTGTCTGTAGAAAGTATACGACTGTCTCTGCTTCTATCGATAAGGGAGAAATGTATAAGAGCATGCTTCTGCATGTATGGCATATATGCCCTTAGCCCACTGTCAATATAGACCGGAAATGGAATATAAATGAACAAAAGGCTATTAAAAGCATTCCCTAAGTCTATTGCATACACCCCCCCCGGCATGAATGAGGACGGGAAACAGGAAACCAGCGCTCCACCCCAACCATCTATTAGTCGGAGAGACAATCGTACTTGTCTATCTCTGTAAGAAAGATGAATGAAAAAAGTGCAAAAGATGAATATGATTTTTTTGCTGTGGAGAGAAATATCTCCCATGTCGTCCCCAAGATATCTCTCCATGCAAAAAAACGAGGAGAGCTGTTGATGAAATTGTAGCGGAGCCATAGCATCAGGGCGTATCTTTCATGGCGTGTTTCTTGTTGTATTTTTCTCCATGAGGCAACTTGAGTTTTATGCCTATGAGCGTTGTTTTGGCAGGTGTGAGCATCATGCATGGCATCTTCGTTACTTCCGCCTCTACATTCATCACAGCTGGTTGACCCTTTTTTTTTGGCGGGTCCATACTGAAGAATCTGTATATATTGTTTTTCCCGTTTTTTTATGTTTTGGGAAATACTAACAAGTTTGCTTGCCTATGTGTGTGTGGTTCATGCCCTTTGTTTTTGTAGGGTGAAGAGAATGAATCTGCCCTGAAGCTACTTCCCAGTCTGCTTGAAGAAATAGATCTCATTAACGACGGTGTACAAAGGTTGGAGCGGTTGATAAAGGGGGTGTTTGCTGGGAACATCTTTGATCTAGGTGCTGCAAAGGTGAGCTTCTTCCAACTTGTGCTGATCGTATGTTGTGAACACACTGCTTCAACTTCATAAGATGTGCATACCTCATAGGACTTGGTATTCCTGTTTCCATCTATCTTCTCTTTTCTGAATCCTGTCTAAGTTTTTGATAACTTTCTAAGTTTGTGTAAGAAATTATTGCTTTTTTCTTTTTTTAATGTGAAATTGTTGCTATTTTGTTATGGTAGGTTTCTGTTTTTTCTTATAAACAAGTACAACATTAGGACTTCCCAGGAGGTCACCCATCCGAGGTACTATTTCAGACCCACAGCGCTCGACTTCCGAGTTCAGATGGGATCAGGTGCATTAGCCGTGGTGTGACCGTACTGTAACGAACCATTTCTGGATTTATATGTGTCAGTTGTGTGCAGAGGTGGTGCTAATCTTCTTTGTATCGTTCCAATTTTAATGGATGTCCCAAAGCACATTACAGTTTCTATAGTAGGATTCTGTTGATGATTATAGTATGATTACCGTCTTTATGAAACAAACAAACATATCAGTGATGCCAAGTATTTTGATGAGCATGGGCTGGATGGCATGACAAGAAAAAGTCGAGGATCATAATATATATACATATAGATAGGTAGCGCCATAGCCCAGTGAGCTGAGCTATAGGCAGAGATGGAGAATATGACTATATGTGACGATATATATGCGTGGCCATCTTGATAATTCAAATAAGATTGCCCAAGAATACAGTGTGAGCCCGTTTACGTTTACAAAGTTTAGCGTGTTCTGGAATTGGAGTCACTTTTGGATCAACGTGTCTTATAGTTAACCCGCATTTTATATTATACTATACGTGAGGAAGTGTGTGATAGTACACTGTTTGTTATACTTTCCGCGTCCCACTAAAACTAAGTGGTAAGGTCCAAATCGGTGGATACCGATGGTATGGGAGTTGATTACCCATCTATTGATTGGGCAGACCTTAGTGGTACCATATGTCACGGGTGTCTAATAAATTAGACTAAAAAACAAAGGAGCGAAGCAATGAGTATGAGTTCTCAAAAGCATCCTTATCATTTAGTTGATCCAAGTCCATGGCCTATTTTTGGTTCACTGGGAGCTTTGGCAAGTACCATTGGTGGTGTTATGTACATGCATTCTTATACAGGAGGTACACTGTGCCTTAGTTTAGGTTTAGGAATGATTTTGTATACCATGTTTGTATGGTGGCGTGATGTAATACGTGAATCCACCTACGAAGGATATCATACATCAGTGGTTCAAGTGGGACTTCGTTATGGTATAATTTTGTTCATTGTGTCAGAAATGTTTTTTGTAGCTTTTTTTTGGGCTTTCTTTCACTCGAGTTTGGCGCCTATCGTAGAAATTAGAGTTATTTGGCCTCCAAAAGGTATTGATGTGTTAGATCCTTGGTGAATCCCCTTTCGATACTCTTATTCTACTTTCATCTGGAGCTGCTGTAACTTGGGCTCATCATGCTATATTAGCTGGTTTAAAACAACAAGCCCTTTATGACATATTAGCCACTACTCTTCTAGCTTACAACTAGCGGGACCTTAACCCACAAGGTGTAAAGCGCCACCACTTTGTAAGTGTGGTCCGTAAACAAATTTTGCCATAGTCGTTTCTTTCTGGAATACGTATACAAGTTAGTTGCTTGAAAGGAGTATAAGCATACCTACCAATTTCATCATATCGTTGTGGGTATAGCGGGATTTGGACCTAAGACTATTAGGTTGAAAGCCCAATTCTCTACCAACTAAGCTATACACCCTATGTATATATCATTCTTTGAGTTTTTGTTTTAGTTGGAATATCAAGTCAATCTATTCGGATTCAATAATTTCATCTCACTCACATCAGAAAATTCAAAATTCTCATAATTAAACAATCATTCTATAGTAAAATTACATTCTAAATTTCAAATTTTAATTCCATCTTTAAAAATGTCATTCTACTTTTAAAATTTTTCGTCTTACTTGAAAATTTTCCTTCTAAGAATGGGATATCCCTTCTTATTTGAACTGCATGCTAGACATGAAATGAAAGTTTGGATGGGTTTATGAAATATTTTAATTGGATTGTGATTCCATTTAACGATTTTCGGTCATAAATGGGTTAATCCAATCTAAATTAGAAGATATATGTTGTAGTAGAATGAAATTTTAATTAAGATATTTCATAAACTCATCTAGATTTCCATTCCATCTTCAACAAATAGATGTAGTTAGAAGGGAAAACACATTTTTGAGACGGGAATTTATCAAACATAATTGAAAATTTTAGAATTGGACGAACATTGGAATGATAATTTTTAAATATGAAGAATTTTTGTTTAATGGAATGTTTTTTCAACTTTCATTTCGTGTTGGAATGTTTCTGTTGCAGAGATCTAGTGTTGTTGAAATTTGACATCTTTGTAAAGTAACATCTTCATTTCTTGTGGGAATGTTTCTGTTGCAGAGATAGAGTGTTGTTGAAATTTGACATCTTTGTAAAGTAACATCATTTTACTTCGCATATATTTAGCAAGAATATAGAAAGTCTTGCTAGATAAAGTGATAGCCCTGAATATTTGTCCAATCGGTTTCATTTAAAGAAGCAAGTAAAACGTGTGCGCCGTGTTTGAAATCTGTGGGGGAGTGCCCTCCAAGCCTAACATAGGTGTTTTTAATTGTATTGATGGTTGCGATCCAACTAAATATCTTGATTCCGATTGGAAGAGCTATAATGATGGCGGTGAAATAAGCTCACGTCAATTCAACTATTGCTTTCCTAATGGCACCGGGCGATAACTTTAACCACAGACAGAGAGAGAGAGAGAGAGAGAGAGAGAGAGAGAGAGAGAGAGAGAGAGAGAGAGAGAGAGAGAGAGAGAGAGAGAGAGAGAGAGAGAATCTTCACCACATGGCGCAAAATCTTTCTTGGTTGCTGGGCATATAGTTGCTAAGGATCCCATTTCCCCCAAAACCACCGGGCGTAGACAAAGAACCAGCACTTACCATTTTACGGTATGAACAACCTGGGTCATTTTGAATTTAAATTAAAAAAAATGGACTATATCATTCTCCGAGTTTTTGTTTTGATTGCAATATCAAGTCAATCTATTTCGAAAATTAGGATTCAATAATTTCATCTCAAAGATCGAATGTTGTTGATATTAAGCATTTTTGAAGAGCAACTTCGTTGTTCTTATCATAGTTGGATTTGTAAGACACACTTACAAAGGTTATATCCTTCCTATGCCAATAAGAATTATGATCTCAGTGGAGTACACAGATATACTTGCATTTTACAATGCCAAAACACATGGCATTTTCAACTACTACTCCTTTGAGGCTCCCCTGGCGAGACTGAGTATATTATACACTTTTTTGTTAGGACTGCGTAGGTATGATGAATGCAGTCAGCAAAAGTTGTTCATATGCAAAGGAGCTCGCAAAGAGGAAATTCATTACTGCTAACTTCGTTCAAGTACATTTATGTTCAAATTGTATCACACCTGTCCTATGAGAGTACAACCGAGATTCCACTACCGTCTTCATTTGAACAGAGCGCCCAGTGATTTTAGATGTATTTTGGGCAACTTTCAGTCTAGTCACGGGGATAATGACCGAACAAAAATGGGCAAGCGAAAAATGACCGAGCGTTCTATTCAGGATGGAGCACAGTTTGCGAGATGCGGGCATATGATCTTTGCTATCTACGTCCACTAGCTCTATTCATCTGTACTAGAACACATGCGTTGTATTCGAGTTTCAAAATTTGAAAAAAAATTGAATAGAACGCATATGCGATGTATTTGAAATTTAGGGGTATTCGAATAGAGCATATATGTGTTGTATTTGAAATTTATGGGTATTTGAATAGAACGCATATGCGTTGTATTCGAATAGAACACACCCTATGTGTTGTATTCGTTTACAAAGCATATGCGTTGTGTTTGGGGGAAGAAGGTAGTGAAATCTCAGCCTATGTCGTTAATGAGAAATGACCAACCACACGCAGCAGTGTGTAGACAAATTTGTTTGTGACTTCCTTCTCTGTCGGATGAATGTGATCAGCAAGCATGTGTGCAAAAGCACAAGAAAGTCAAATTCACACCAAGGAAAGTAATGCAAAAATGGCAAAAATGAATTTGGCCTAATTTTTCTGGATATTGGAGTCCAGAGATTTTGCCTATCCAGTATTAGAATCTTGCAAATAGAGCGAATGCAGCTTCCATAGAAAGTTCTGAGTATGTAATGAAAGTGGGCTACTACATAATAACTTGTTAATAAGTCTCATGTAGAGCAATTTTTCGTTATCTATGGTCAGTATCTCTTCATCCGTGCTGCCTTCATCACCGGAATAGAAATACCTGTTTATAGCTGTATTTGCGGCAATTTCCAGTCTAGATACAGGCTCATACTGCTATAATGACCAGTGTTCTGTTCGGGTGAAGACTGGATTTGAACTTCGTTCCTTGGTGTGGGTGAGCATCATTGGACCACATGCGGCTCAGTTGTGGCAAAAATCTTATTTGTATGTCGTCTGATGAATGCAGTCAGCCAACCCATTTGCAAAAGGGCAATTTTTGGTATCTACTCCCTACGGTCAATATCTATCAATATGTGCTTGTTTGAAACTTGGCCTACATCGTTGATGAGAAGTGACCGACCACATGCGGGGTTTATGAGAAAAAGTGACAAATCTGTGCGTATTTCATCTGATGACTGCAGACAGCAGACCTGTTTGAAAAAGGGCAAACAAACTTCAAGCAAGTTCTCGGGAAGCTTGTGCCACGACCATGGGTCATTGACGATCTTGACCGTCTAAAGCAGCGTTGCGCATCTGGGCCGCGGTACAAGAAGGTATATTGCTACTTTTCGGACCATTCTCAATATTTATATATATTTTTTCAGATGAGTCGCACTACCACTCCATCGGCTGGTCACTCGTCTCATCACTGAGTCTCGATCTATCACCACCCAGTGGTGATGATACCCTTCCTTTTCTGCCCCTCTTAATGTTTATGAGTCTGTTGATGTCAATTGTTATTTCTCGAACTGCCGGAGTGTCTGATCATTGACTCTTGTGCAGTAACTGAAAATTCAACACCTTTCACTAAGGACAATATTTTTTCAGGAAATGGGAAGTAAAAGAGGGAAAAAGGTGGTGAGCGCATAGGCAAAGAGGGAAAGAGGCCTGCACATGTCCCCTGGGAAAGCTTCTTGACCCGGTGGTCGGGGCAACAATATGGCATTTGTCGATATGCCTCTGATGATTGTTTGCTTAGAAGTTACATCATCATATTGTTTACTTAGGTCATCAAAGATAATTGGAGGGTGAACCCCATTTGTCTCGGAAAAGTTTTCCCATAGCACAACCTGCAGAAGGAGCAAGAAATTGAAGAGGAGCAGGATCTGATGCAGTGGCTGCCACAGGCTTTCTTATAGCTTCTTTCAACAACCCCGGTATACGGGGTTGTGAGCAGCTAATGTGGAGAGCAACAGATGCATGTTTTTTTGTCTTTTCCCCTTTCCCTACCCCTCTCTTTCCCATTTCCCTACCCCTCTCTTTCCCATTTCCCTACCCCTCTCTTTCCCATTTTCCTACCTCTCTCTTTCCCATTTCCCTACCCCTCTCTTTCCCATTTCCCTACCTCTCTCTTCCCCCCCTCAAAGAAAGTTTTGATGTTGACACCACAGGGAAGTTCTGAGACTCTGAATATGAAGACGGGCCTTTCAGAATGATGATTGGTCCATCGAGATAGTCGTATGTGTGCTCCCCAGAATGGACAAGAAGCCGGAACCATAAGGTTCTGTTTTTTTTTTTTTTTGGTTGTTAATAAAATGCAACCAATAATGGGGATATCTGCAATTTGTTGGCTTGTGCAGGCTGTCATGTTCGTTGACAATGCAGGAGCTGATGCCTTGCTTGGGATGGTGCCATTGGCACGAGAGTTTGTGAAGCGAGGTACCAAGGTATGTACTGTTTACCGCAAAGGAACCTCTCAATGAAAAGTTGAAAACACAAATTTTCCACGGCAGTGAAGACACAAAATAGAGCAAGCATACGAGAGCAAGTCAAGGTCACACCAAACGAGAACACAAATGCGCTGAAGTTTCTTGAAAAAGTCCAACATCACGCCTCCAACCATCAAAACAACAACAGCTCGGTTGTACTGCTTCCCTACTTACTCTATACTCTTAACCTACTTTGCTCTCTTCTCTCTTCTCTCTGTCCACTCATCTGCTTGCCCGATGATGCGTCAGAGGCTGATTGCATTATGTGTGCGCATCACTCGTTATTAGGAAAGTCCCACTTCTCATCGCTGTCCTCTTCCCATCGTCCTCCCGAACACCAGCGCGCCCTATTGAACCACCAGGTGCAGCTATGGCTGCTGCTGACTGGGCCGCTCTACCGCACCAGCCCCTTCTCCCTCATTGTCATCAACGCTCTCTCCTGGTCATTGAGGCTGTGCCAATTTTAGTGCTGCCTGGCCAGCAACTTGTGCGTCGAAGGAATGTCCCTCCGCAGCGGCCTCCCATGCTTTTGTCAAAGGAGCCACGCCGCATTTGCCTCATCGGGATCAACCTCATCGCTGAGAAGCACTTCCATAGGCCAGGCAGTGACTTTTGCTGGCAGCGGTTACTTTTGCAGCCCAGCCTTCACTTAGGGCCAGGTCCCTTTTTGATGCAGGCGGCGCCCAGCGCCGCCAAGGCCTGGAGTCTTGCATTACCAACCATGGGTAAAAATGAACCCCTTTAACTAGATGTAAGGTCTGGCTGAGGGGAATGTAGGTCTGAAAGTGATTTGAATACCTGAATATGACCTGGGCAAAGGGTGTACACTACTCACTGCATATTGTACATCCTCCCCCTTCACAACCTCCCCTTCCCCCTCCTCCACTCCATTGAAGCTGTTCGTCTTGTAATTTTGCACAGCATGCCTTTTTTTCCAAGATCTTTTGGGTTTTGAGAAATTTCAGGAGTTTTGCTGATTCTTTTGCTTTCTAAAAGATTAGCTGACACTGCTTGGCAAATGGGCCCTTGCAGGCTTGGGGGACCTGCGCAGGTCATTCCCAAAAACATGATGCAAAAAAAATAGTACTGGAAATTGTGTGGTTGTGGGGAGTTGTCACATCTGCTGAGACAACCCCGAATCCAGGCTTTGTCATATTTTTGGGATATTGGGTTGGGGAGTGGTGGTGGTTTGAGGG